GTGCCGACCCAGAGCTTATTATCTGGCCTCAGAGGAGTGAGCATCTCTCGCTTTCGCCGAGAGCGGTGCCGGAGGTCATATTTCTCTCCACGGATCAACGTCCAACTTCAAACCTCGTGGACTGGAGCCTCTCACAAAATACGTATACACAGTCCGGTCTCTGCGAACATCTCCCGAAAGAGAGGGAACGAGACCAACGGGATATAAGCTTGGGTGATAGTCGCAGCACGCGTCTGCTTTAGCATAAAGCAAGCATTGATAAAACCTTCTGACAGGTCAAATGAGCACAAGTCAAGTAATCACGTAGTTACGGCACAAGTATCTGTATTTTCCATACATTGGCCAGCCAGTCAAGTTCCCTACCCATTCGTAGCCTCTTCAACGTCTTCATCTTCCAGGTCTGGTGGATCGAAGTCCTCATCCTCACCGTACAGGCTGCGAGTCATAGTAGTGGAGTTAGGAGGGATAATGTCATGAATATTACATAGTCCGGATGGTTCTCCCAGATTTCATAGTATTCTTTTACTTTCTATCCACCTCCGTATATTTGTAGGATATTCTAGATATTGAGTCTGACATGTATATAAGGAGCTCGTACTGCTCAATAACAAGCCAGACTCGAGCTGGTCTTTCCTCACTCACATTCCTCTCGTCTGTCTCCTCAGCACTGTCATAGCTCAGTCCAGTTGGATTGTTAGTTGCTGACATTAGCTCGAGTCTCCACCAACTGCCCTACGACGATCCTCGTCACTCCCACACCAACCATCACCTATCTCCACACGACGATCCACCCTATACGCACATCCGACTCTCACCCTAACTCCTAACCCTATCGCATTCTATCGCATCAAGACCCAGACCCCTGGAACCCTTCTCCGTGCACTTGCACAAACTTTTACCACATCACATCTCCAAAGTCACCTCTGTAATCACTAGCCCTTAGGCGGCTAGACAGAGCTCCGTCCAATTAGAATCGTACCCTGCCCTACCATAGGCGGCGTTACACACTTTGCAGCAGGCAAGCGGATATTCCTGAGTACGACGTGGCAACCGGTTGCGGCCGGGCGTCGGAAAAGCGATAACAGTTAGATCGACGATACCTTTCTGAGCATCGGACCGAAGAGAAGCAATTGCTCTTTGGGCTGTTATATTATCTCTAGAACTGTATTAGGATAGCGTTTTAGTTCTTTTTCGGAAATTTCCATCTTTGGCAAATTCTACCCCTGATCTGGTCGTTACAACACGATTAGTCCCAGGGTTTGCTGCAACCAGCTCCACAGACCTGACACCCTATGACCACGCCTTCTTGCAATTGTAGAGGACATACACACCGAGAGCTAGAAGGAAGATCTATCTACATACGCGGTGACAACGTACGGTACTGCGCACAACAGCCATGCCCGCATTCTCCGGATAATAGCAATCATTGTCCTCGGTGTAGGGAAGGACTACGCGGAGAACTACTACAAAGAGTTTCCACAGGAGCACCTTCAGAAATCCCTCGCAACTCCACAACCTGTAGCATCTAGTTCGGAACCCAGAACCAGACGAGATACCCTTGAATCAGTCACCGATCATCTACGCTCAATCGCCCTCGGAGAAGCCAAAGCACCACCAGAGGGCCCACCAAACCCCGTAGAAGAAGCGATAGAAGATTCGGAACCCTCAAACCCACCTTCCCGACGTTCTCCCACCCCACCTTCATCTCCATCAGATCCCAGCGCGATGGCCGAGAACCAAGACAGTGCCGCGCTCCTTAATGGAAGCGCGATGAAGCCAGACGCCTTCGATGGCACAAAATCCAAGTACATTGCTTGGAAAACCCAAATGAAACTCTATGTAGTTATGCAGAGGAAGCGGCTACCAGAGCAGTTCGACAGAGTTCTTATGATTCTGTCTTACATGAAAGGGGGACACGCGGGCAAATATGTCGCTACATTCATGAAGAAGTACGACGCGGACGAAAATTCCGTAATACAGACCACAAAAACACTGTGGGAAGACCTAGACAGGCACTTCTTAATCGATGAGCAAGCTGAAGCATACGATCGGCTCCAGGCAATGCAGATGGGGACATTATCAGTGCAAGAGTTTTTCTCAAAGTTCGAGTTATGCGCCTTCCAGGCGAATATACACGACTTCGAAGCACATTTCCAGGAGCTCAAGTCGCTCCTGGAAAAAGCACTCCAGGCCGATATCATTCGGCTTCTGTATAACTCTTCGGAGGAACTCCCCACCACATACGCGCTCTATAAGCTACGGGTCGCGTGCATTGACCTGAATCAGCAGCAGTACCATCGGCGAAACCCACAGTCCCAGCGGCAAGGACAATTTCAGCCTCGACAGCAGCAGGCACAAAGTGCGCCACGAGCACAGGCTAACGTAGCCGCACCAACTGCAAGCGTCCCGGTCCAGATACATCGCGATGGGACAGGCATCACATTCGGCGGCAGAGGTCAGCCAATGGAGCTAGACCAGGCACGACACTTGGGCCTTTGCTTCTGATGCGGAGAAAAGGGGCATCTTTCGCGCAATTGCCCTAATCGGCAACAAGCTCAACAAGTACGAGCTGCAGAAACCCCGGCAGTTCCCATTACCAATGCATTCACACCGCTCGCATCACTCAATGAAGCTCCTGCCGCAACGGCAGAACCATTTGACTGGAAAACGGCAATTCGCGAAGAAATTCGCGTGGCCATGAAGGGTCTTGCAAGCGGTCAGCCGGGTGCGTAGCCGAGTTGACCAAAAAGAATTTCACGAACTATCTGTGTTCTTGGTTTGGAGTTCCCATGTACATACAAAAGAAAGGGGCGTCCGCAGAGCGGCGCGGAGAGGCTCAACCCTCTTGCTTAATTCCCCCCAATAAAAAATTGTCCTCTACTCCAGAATCACAGACCGAATCTACGCAGTGGCAACGCCACACTCTTTGGACGGCGGCTTAGATCCGCCAGTGGATAATCAACAAAGAAGCCGCAGCGCTTACATTGTTGACTGAATGGATACACTCAAAGAAGAGTGTTGACGCCTCAGAAGCCTGCATGAGCCAAATCAGGCAGATGAAAGAAGAAGAAGCAATAGACTTCTTGAACGAACTGAGAAAGCAGCCTCGATTTATTCGAGGGAGGAAGGGAACTCAGATGGACGTCCCAATAGTGGTTACTACCCTGGACACGCAACAACGCCTATCAGTCAAGGCGCTATTAGACACAGGATGCACCAGATCATCTATTAATGTGCAGTTTGTCCGCGATAACAACATCGCTACAAAGAAACTGCCATCACCGATTCCTGTCTACAACGCGGACGGTACACATAATACTGGCGGCGCTATTACCAACTTTGTTGAGCTAAGGGTAGAAATTCAGGATCACGTTGAACGGCTCCCTTTCGCCGTTACCAACCTAGGAAAGACTCCGATCTTCCTCGGATACGAGTGGCTCCAGATTCACAATCCATCTATCGATTGGCAGGAACAAATCATTAAGTTTGATCGGTGCCCGGTTACCTGCAAATACACTGCCCGGTTAATTGATATTGATTCCGATCACGAAGAACCCAGCGATTTGGAGGCTCGCCTAGAAGAAGGGGATAGAATCTTTATCCTAGACCACGAAACCTACTTTGCTACGGGAGCAGCATGTATTCGCACTACGGCCACCGATCTAGCCATTAAGGAAAGTCTGAAACACGAGGCTAAGATGTTTGAAAACACCGTCCCAAGTCACTATCACGACTACTCCGATGTGTTTAGCAAAGAAGACTTTGATTCCTTACTGCAAAGACGACCCTGGGACCACACAATAGAACTTACACCAGGCGCGCAACCGATCAACTGCAAAGTTTACCCGATCTCTGTAAATGAACAAAAAGAACTTGATGAGTTCATAGAAGAGAACCTCTGAACCAGAAGAATCCGACCATCAAAATCCCCGTGGGCTTCTCCATTCTTCTTTGTCAAGAAAAAAGATGGACGACTTCGACCCGTACAAGACTATCGAAAGCTGAATGAGCTTACAATTAAAAACTGCTACCCACTTTCCTTGATACAAGAACTAGTGGACAAGCTGAAGCAGGCGCGGTATTTTATGAAACTAGACGTCCGATGGGGATACAACAACATCCGCATCAAAGAAGGAGACGAAGAGAAGGCAGCGTTCCTAACAAATCAAGGACTATTCGAACCACTCGTCATGTTTTTTGGCCTTACCAATTCCCCGGCTACATTCCAAACCATGATGAATGATATATTCCGAGATCTCATCAGTCAAGGACACGTGGTAGTCTATCTAGACGATATCATGATCTTCACTCAAGATTTAAAAGAACACTGTCGGATCACGCGGCAAGTTCTTCAGATCTTAAGAGAACACAAACTTTATCTGAAACCAGAAAAGTGCGAGTTCAAGAAGTCAGAAATAGAATATCTTGGCATGATAGTAGGAAAGGGGGTTGTACGCATGGACCCAGTCAAAATAGAAGGGGTAGTCAACTGGCCAAGACCTGAATGCAAACGCGACATTCAAGCATTTCTCGGCTTTACCAACTTCTACCGAAGGTTCATCTGAGACTACGGCAAAGTAGCAAAGCCGCTCAGTTCACTAACGGGTAACACTACCTTTGAATGGACCATAGAACAAGAAGTAGCATTCACAAGTCTAAAGAACGCTCTATGCACAGCACCAGTACTGGCTATACCCAATGACAACAATCCCTACCGAGTGGAATGTGATGCGTCGGACTTTGCCGTAGGATCAGAGTTAGCCCAGAAACAAGACGGCAAATGTAAGCCCGTCACTTATCTGTCCAAAGCCATGACAGCTACCGAAAGAAATTACGAGATTTACGATAAGGAACTTCTCGCAATCATGACTAGTCTTGATGAATGGTGTCAGTACCTCATGGGCGCCGTACATCCGTTTGAAATATGGACGGATCACAAGAACCTAGAATACTTCCGAAAGCTGCAGAAACTCAATCGGCGTCAGGCCCGATGGGTAACGGAATTGACCAAATATCAATACTTGTTGCATCACAAACCCGGGAAAACTAATGGCAAGGCGGACGGACTGTCCTGGCAAAAGTGACACAATGCAGGGAAAGAGGACAATTCTGATATCGTACAATTAAAACCTAAACATTTTCGTGCTTTAGTTTGTAGTACTATATTTAGTTTAGAAGGAATCGACCAGGACTGGGTCGCGGAAATTAAAAAATACAAAAAGAACCAAGATTCACTAGTTACCGTAGCTCTACAGAACAAGGACAAAGACTGGAACGAAGATAGTACTGGACTCGTGACGTGGAAGAACCGTATTTACGTACCAGTAAATAGGAAACTCCGTGAGCAGATCATCACTCATCACCATGATACTCCGTTGGCCGGACACCCCGGTCAATACAAAACACACGAAATGGTCACACGCAACTATTGGTGGCTTAGAATTCGAGAAGACATTCGGAAATACGTTGCTGGATGTGAGAAGTGCCAGAAAACCAAGGTTCACACAACACGACCCACCGGACTTCTATTTCCGAACGAAATTCCTTCACGACCCTGAGAAGTAATCTCCGTGGACAAGATAGGCGTATTACCCAATTTGTTTGGGTACAATGCCATCCTCGTAATAGTCTGCATGTACTCCAAGCAGATAATCGCGATACCTAGCACTATTGAGCTTAACGCTGAAAAATGGGCAAAGGCACTTCGAGATAACGTAATCGCACATCATGGATTACCCCGAAAGATCATTAGTGACAAAGGAACTGAATTCAAGAATCCATTCATCTCTGAATTATATCAATCTCTCGGAATCGAAGCCAACCCGTCAACCGCGTATCACTCCCAGACAGATGGACAAACGGAACGCATCAATCGCAAGATAGAACAATACCTTCAACTATTCATCAACTACCGACAGGCCGATTGGGCCGAATGGCTGCCTCTCGCAGCATTTTTGTACAACAACAAGGTTCACTCATCCACCGGATATACCCCCTTCTTTGTCAATAAAGGGTATCACCCTTACGAAGGAACTTAACCGGTACGGGAAGGACTAAACGAAAATGTCCAACAGTTTGTTGATCGAATGAGTCGAGTGCGTGAAGATACCAGTGCGGCTATAGGATTAGCACAGAAATCTATGAAACAATTCTACGATAGAAAAAGGAAGGACGGACCAGAGTACAAGGTCGGGGATAAAGTTTGGCTAGAGGAAGTAAATATTCGAACTGACAGACCAATGAAAAAGCTTGACGATAAGCGATACGGACCTTTCAAGGTCAAATGCAAAGTTGGCGCCTCTGCTTACGAATTGGAACTTCCCCGTCAATGGAAACAACACCCCGTGTTCAACGAGAGTCTCCTTAGTCCTTTCAAAGAACCTGTATACCCCTCGCAGTGACGCGAACCAATAGTCTCCGACCTTGTAAATGGCAAAGAAGAATGGAAAGTCAAAGATATCCTTGACTCCCGCCGTGATCGAAATGGGAATCTTGAGTATCAGGTGCTCTGGAAGAATAGCCCCCACGGTGATCGCCGTTCCTGGGAATCACGAGCAAACTTGACCAATTGTCAAGAACTCCTTCAGGAATTCCATGCGAGACGTTCCGATAAACCCGCGCCTATGACAATTCGAATCCCCCCCCTATTAACACGACCCGTTCACATACTCACGCGTGATACCACTCTTTTGGTACAAAGGATGGGCGGAATTCTTCCAAAACAAGGATCCGAAGAAGCTGCTGGCCTTGACCTCTACGCAGCTGAGAGCGTTAGAATACCAGCATGAGATCGCAAGATTGTTAGTACCGGCATAGCAATGCGTGCCCCTTACGGAACCTACGCGCGAATCACGCCACGGAGCGGATTAGCAGTCAAAGGGATAGACATTGGTGCTGGGGTCATAGACCGAGATTATACCGGAGAAGTACGCGTGGTGATGATCAATACCACTAATCAACCTTTTCAGGTACACGCCGGTGATCAAATCGCGCAAGTCATCACGGAACGCATTGCATCATGCGATATCGAGGAGGTTTCCAGTTTGTCAGAGACTCAGCGTGGTAAAGAAGGTTTTGGTTCTACTGGAAAATAATCGTGAGGACACAATTCTAGACGGGGGGGGGTAATGTCATGAATATTACATAGTCCGGATGGTTCTCCCGGATTCCACAGTATTCTTTTACTTTCTATCCACCTCTGTATATTTGTAGGATAATCTAGATATTGAGTCTGACATGTATATAAGGAGCTCGTACTGCTCAATAACAAGCCAGACTCGAGCTGGTCTTTCCTCACTCACATTCCTCTCGTCTGTCTCCTCAGCACTGTCATAGCTCAGTCCAGTTGGATTGTTAGTTGCTGACAGATAACAAGCCAGTCGCGATGCACGTCTCCACCCTGATCCTGCAGTTCCTGCTACCGATTCCGGCTGACTATCTCACCCTTCCAAGCCCACATCAGGCGCAAGGACTGCCCCCAACGATACACGGCGAGGTCCCTGTCGCGCAGTGTCGTCGACATGCTAAGATAGCCACTTGCCCGGTATGCTGCCACAAACTGCTCGAACGTCAGCTCCGGTGAAACTAGTGTTGCCGCGGATTCGGATTCTATCCGGATAGAATCCGATCCGGCCTGATGGGTCGCCAATCCGTTCAATCCAGATGGGCGCGGATTCAAGCCGGATAACTCGTTGCAGTCCACTCAGAGAATGCCGACTCAGACGCCATCCATCAATTCTAGTTTGACGTGGTCACACAAGACTGCACGAGAACGCATCGCGTCCATGGTTAGTGTTCCTCGTGTTTCGATTTATTGCCTGTGGCTGTGTTTTCCCCTTTCACTTCCGTCATCTCCTGAGGTTGTTGCTAGAGTAACATGATAGATCAATATATTTATTTGAAAAAATCACACAAGACCCAATTACTGCACGAGCTATTGCCCAGGGACCAGGGCAGCCGGTGTGTTTTTTTCAACTTGAAACAACAAGTGACTCAAGCCACACTTCACAGGTCAATAATCTGGCTCCCGAGTGTGAAGTACATAGCACACTCTGCGCATTTTTTCTCTCTGACACCCAGGTATAATACATCGGGTGCAGCTGTGTCAAACAAGCCCACCGGTTCTCTTTCTCAGCCTTAAATTCATGCTATGAGCCAGTCCCAACATCGAGAAGACTCCACTAGTTGCTCCCATCCATCCGTGACTTCCTATTGGCACCACCCAGCCTATCCGCATCTATACACCTGCCCCTATGGCTCACCAGCCTTTCCGTTGCTTCAATCTACTGGCCCACATCTTCACAGTCAGCCTTCTCCTTCTGTTTCAGCTGCACTGACGCCTCAGAACCCTGGGCCGGCTGCCTCTGTGCCAGCCCAGTCGCCTTCGCAGCCAGTACAAGCACCAAAGTGGAAACGCGGATGCAATGAGGGCGGAGCACCGTCATCAAAGCACTCTCAAGCCAATGCCACATTGTTGTCTGATGTGCTGGGACCTCTTGTACCAGGAGTTGGCCCCTGCATCTTGCCTCCCACTGAGCCCAGCAACACTGACTCAACACCACTGACAGCTTCGCAAAAATCCAATGTGGATTTTTGCTCACTGCTAGCAGCCAGCAACATGTCGGAGAACTCGACACTTGCATCCGATGTCTGGTTTCACGTCCTACTGGCGCAGACGAAAGGCGCACCAGCCAATTTCACTGATGGCGTCAGATACAATGACACCGATGTTGAGGCTCCTGCACCAGACTCTACGCCATCAAAGCGTCGCCCAACGTCTTTTTATGTGAGGTGTCGCCTTTGTCCGTAAGTGGCCACTATTTATTTGTCTTCTTTGTGTAGTCACATTTATCTTGAGCCAGGACGAAGTGGAGAGTATGGAAGAACAGTGATGGGATCACTGGAAATGTGTGTCGCCATCTGAAGAAGGACCACGCGCAGAACTATTGGTCAGTGGTGACCAAGGAGAAGCTCAAAGGATGGGATGTACCTGCAAACAATTCCTTGCTGTTGGAAAAGGCTCGCGAACCCTTCAGCCTGACAGAATTTCACAACAAACTTGTTCACTTTGTGGTGGTTAATGATCAGGTAAGTTGCTCATTTCTTCTCCTCAGAAATTATGCTGACTACGCTTGCATTGAAACCACAGTCCATCAATGTTGTCGAGTGCCCAGAGTTCCGGGATCTCATTGTCTACGCAAGTGATCACCTAGAGGACATGGACATCCCACATCGCACCATGCTCACAGACCTCATTAAGGAGCATTGTGCAGTGGACTTTGGCGCGGTTGTCGAAGAGCTGAAGGTACAAACTTCAGTGCTTGGATTTGTTTTACTGTGCACTTTGTGCTGACAGTCCTTTAAGGTCAGCGAGGGCCGCATTTCGTATACATCTGACCTTTGGAGTAATCTCAAGCTCCTTGGCTTTATGGCAATTACAGCACACTATATGGCAAAGGACGAGAATGGACACCTCATGATATGTTCTCGGCTGATCGCATTTCGAGCAGTGCCTGTGAATCACACTGGCATAAATCTTGCCGGAATATTCTATGGTATACTCAAGGATTATGGCATTCTGCACAAAGTTTGAAGCTTCACTGTCTACCAAAGATTAATTTATTCACACTGATGGTAAATCAGTCAAATTACGCTTGACAATGCGTCTAACAATGACACCATGATGTGTGAGCTTGCGTGGCTCCTCAGACAAGATGGGATACCATTTGATCCCATTGGAAACTGGGTCCAGTGAGAAAGTTGCATCTTTGGGTATTTTCTAAACTCTGACTGCTTTGTTTGTCACAGATGCTTTCCGCACATTATCAATATTGCTGTTAAGGCTGGACTCAAAATGCTGACAAAGGTACAGAACAATCAGCACAGCAAAGATGCAAGTCATGACGATGATAGTGACTATGACAGTGACGATGATCTTGACAACGACGGTGCTATGGACGCTACATCCAATGCAGCGCTTCAGGCTGATCCTGCATATCTGTCTGCCTTGCAAAAGGATCCTGTGACTCGCTGCCATGCATTAGTACGTGTTTGCCGAGCATCTTGGCAGTGCCGCAGAGATCTTTGCCAGGCTATTGCTCTCTCAATGGCAGCAAAGTGGGCACTGATTGCTGTTGCAGCTGAGTCATTGGACTCTTCAACCTCTGGCCCCAAGCCGAAAGAGCTCCTTCGAGATGTGGACACGCGCTGGTCAGCGCTGTTTATGATGATTGATCGCGCTCTCGAGCTATGAGGTTCGTATTTCTCTCCTTTCAATTATGCAAAACCTCACCTTTGTTCCCAATTGGATATTACTTATTCAGGCAGTCAAAGCATTTTTAAATGCGCAGAAGCAGAATGATATTCGCAAAAGTGCCCTCAATGAGATGGAGCTGTGAGTCCTCCATGATATCTGTAGGTTTCTACATGTATTTCACTGCATCCAGCAGCTTCTCTCGTATGAGAAGACACCAACCCTCCCACTCTCAATACCCATGTACGAGAGCTTACTAGAGGCATTGCATGCTCTGCGTAGTAAGCTCTGTACTCTCGAGCACGCAATCAATGTGTCAATCGGCCGGCTGCACAAATATCTGAGCATTGCACGGAAAAGTAAAGCATATGCTCTTGCAATGGGTGAGTGCCATATTTTTTATTAATGGAAAATTTGTCATACTAAGCCTTTTTTTCAGTTTTACACCCTGGCTTCAAATTTACCTGGATAGACGAGCACTGGACAGCCAAGGAAGCTGCAGATGCCCGGCGCTGGCTTCGGGAAGTGGTGTGTAGATTCCCTTGTTGCACACGCACATTAAACTTACTCCTGGGTGTATTACTTATAGATGCTCGAATATCGGCGAGGGATTTATTCTCTACAGTCCAATCTGCCCCCCAACAGCCTGTCTTCCCACCGTCTCAGAGTTTCACAGCTCGCTCACAGGCTCACGGTGTAGGCCGCATCCGCGCACTGCTCTGAGAACTCTCTGATGAGTCTGTAAGCACCCCGGCTACAGCTCAAAGGAGCAGTACACAGCCCGAGGCGGCCACCATCAAACCAGATGTTGATGATAGTCACATTCTGGAGGCAGATTATGCCCGTGCCATTGAGGAAGAGGCAACCCGGTACAAGAAGGAGGGTGTTCTCCCTGACACTGAAACAGGGCCAGACTTTGATATCTGTCACACCTGGCAGGTACGTCACTGCAGTGCATTATCTTACTGTTACTCACTACATCACAGGTCAATCAATATCGCTTTCCTCTGATCTATCGCGTTGCACTGGATATCCTGCCCATACAAGCTTCTGCTGTCCCGTGCGAGCGCGTCTTCTCATCGAGCAAGGAGACAGACACTCTCCGAAGGACTAATATGTCCCCCGAAGTGACGGAAAGGCTTCAAATTCTGAAGCATCTGTATCTGCAGCAGTGCGGTGAGAAGCTAGGTTTTTCACGCGGCAGGCTAGCTTTTGAGGGCAATCTGGCACCAGCAGTCTCAGTAGAACAGATAGATAAAATGGTCGCAGACAGCCATGTGGACAAGCTAAAGAGGCTAAGTAATGAGACTGAGTCCTAATAATTTCCTAATACATCTGTTACGCCATCTTCACTTGAGCCTCCCCAGTTCCCGTCCGCTCTGCATTCAGTTGCCTACCGTATATAGTGTCCTTGTCAGCTTTCCCACAACCTGCCAGATTATCTGGTGGCCAACTCATCGTTATCCGCCACGTGCGGATAATGCCGGTTTTTGGACCTGTCCAACTCATGGCTCATTCGCGGCAACACTAGGTGAGACTACCTCCAGGGTGCGCGTGTCGTATTCCCACACGAGTAGAAGATCGCCCGTGGTGAATAGCAAATACCGATCATCCTTTATAAGCGGCACAAGTGATCCTATGCAGTGGTAGGCATACTCCATATGCCAACCAATATCCATCATGCCGTCAGGGATCTTAGGGATCAAGTTTTTCCAGCTGAACCAGCTGAGGACTTCCTGGTCGTTCTCTGGAATATCGGGTTCTTCCCATTGCTGGGGCACTGGATCAGGCTGCCTTGCCTTCCATTGTGCACAGAGAGCGTCAGCATACTCCTGAGGCAGTATCAGAGGTCCCAAGTATGGGAATGGGGGTGCAAACGTAGCTGGAATCATTGTCTGTGCATGTGTCAGAGGAGGGCTTTATGCAGAAGAAAATAGCTGCTCACTTCAGGTACAACCTCAACTTCATGCCTTCTATCATCGTAAGGTATAGGAAAGGCCTCAAAACACCCCTCAAGTGAAGCATTACACAATGCGCTCAAGTTGAAGATAGCGAGCTTGCCACATGCGTTGCTGAACACCACAAGTCCAAGAGCCTCGTCATAGTCGTAGACACCGGCAGCGTACATTGCTGGTAAGGCAGGATGTTCAAGTTGATATTCAGTTGATGTGTGAGGTCTCTCAGCTGACAGACCCTCTGGTAGAATACCGAAACCAACTGGTTTCATAGTATGGGCCGCTTTGATAAGCCAAGCAAAAATAATCTGTGGTATTGGTATATGCAAAGAGGCTGTCCTGGCCATCAATGCATACACAGAGCTTTGACTGTTCAGATGCAGTCGATGAAGTAAACATTGCTTGTGCCCAGCCGATAGAACAGCCAAGCAAAATGGAACAAAGATGTTCACACGTTGCAGAGCTTTCAGAGAGCTTGTGCAATTTATACAGCTCGAGCTTTCAGGCAGTAACAACGGCGACTAGGCCACTATCAATGGCCATTGCCATGGCGCCGCCCTGCAGCACATCAGAGCCTTGCCAATCAATGCTGCAAATACACTCATGTCGCTGCTAGGGGCCCTGCAGAGGTTTACCACTTCACGGGTGTGCCAGTCAAGAATACTTGCTATACTCTGTTCCTGATGAAGAGAGAAGCCGATGGATGGCCTGCGTAAGCACCGTACATGCGAGACATCGTTCTTGAACCTTTTAAGGCAGACAAAAATCAGCCGTTGATCGTTCGAAATATGCAAAGATAGAATCTCAATGATAGTTTGGCTAGGAAGGGAGTGTCAGATGAAGAAAAAATTAGAGTAGCATATGGCCTCACAATGCAGCTCGAAGCTCCAGAACAATTATCGATTGATTGTCCTGCACCTTAAACAGCCCAGTCACCACAGGTCCTTCGAGAGAAGCTTGGGCTACAATTTCAGGAGGCCTCTTGGAGCGATAGAACGGCTGGAGTGACCAGAGGCAGATAATGCTTGTTACCTGGTTTGAACATGTGACAAGAACCCACTGCTCCAGGACCAGCCTGACCCAAGTCACTGAGTGTGTTTGGTTGAACGTGACCATAGCAGGCGAACGACCCTCTGTATCCATGAGTAAGGCTTGGCGGAGTCGAAGAATGTAGAGAGCGAGGGACTCAGTTTGGCCGCTCGAGAGTAGACCCAGTGAGCGGCAGTAATATGGAATGGTGAGGCCTTCAGAGACGACATCATATTCTAGTATAATCAACCAGAGCTGTTTCAAATGAGACGCTTGTTTGAAAGCCTTACATATCTCTGGGGTAGGTTCAGACTTGGCCAGACTGATGATATTCGCTAGAACACGTACTTGGTGTAAACTGAGGATATCCTGCATGGTGAGGTAGCAGAAGCACAGGAATAAGACATCTTCAGGAAGCTCCTGAAAGATAGAGATGCGGAGAGACATTTGGTGGGTATCCTGTGCAACTCCCTCAGTAAAGTGATACAAACCACTTAGGCTGTTTAAGCCGCTTACAATCATGCATACTTTGCATGCAATATCTTGATGCAGGTCACGTTGTAGATACGAAACAAACAGGTGAAGAGACATGTGGAGTATATTGAAGCTCATGGTGGAGCTCAATTGAAAGTCTGACAAGATCCGACAAGGTTCGCTGCGAGTGTATCCCAGTGTCTCTATCTAGTGCCCGCAATGTTTTCAAGTTCTGAAAATTTGTCGGAGGGTGTCTATCATTTTTGTAACTTTACCATACGGAGCTTCCAGCTCAAATATATCTAGGAGGGCTCTCACAGCTATTTGATACAGTACTCAAGTGCTGTCAATGCTACAATGTGACAGACAGTGGCAGGATGACTGTTTCCGGGTCTCCTACGAGCGTCTGTGTATTCCAGATAGTCTATCGCAGGTTTGAAGGATCTCTCTTATTAACCCACAATGTTCAACTGATCTGCACCTACTGCTCTGATTGTTTATGGTACAGTGTGCAAAGTAGTACAACACATGTGTGAGAGGCTCAAGAAGCTGCGCTTGGCTAGGCGCTAGTACTGCAGTCGCGCCAATATTGTCATCCTGCCACAAATGTGTGTAGACAGCGCCACGAGTAGCCCCGGCAAAACCTACTCATGCAAAGCTCTGAGCCATGTACATGTGCCAAGCGAGAACTAAAGGTAAGTGAACTATGCTTCGGTACCTCTCGAAATGGCTGAGTAACTTGCTGCAATAGCGCGATCGTGACCGCCGCAGTGGAGTGACTTGGACGAACAGCTGTATCCTTGATGGCTCTAAAGTCAAAGTTTGGAACAACTCTAGACTGAGAGACTATTGATGACTGTAGCATGGGAGCCACACTTCCGATTGCTTCAGATCCCGGCTCTTTGTCAGTCTCAATTTGCGGCACCTCTTCTGAAGTTCAAGAAGTTGGCCATCGAGCCCAGTCCAGCATTGTAAGCCGCTCATGGACGGGACTAGCTAGTTTTTGTGGTCATTCTTCAACGTCTTCTAAGCTATCCCACTTGCAATGCCGCAGTACGTTCATTGCAATTCCGCCGTTGATTTGCATTAAATGACTAACCTCTTTCTTAGCAGGATGCCGCCCCCAGCAATCTATCCAATATCAAACAATCCTTTCAATTTTCTTGAAGCAGGACTTCAAGTCATGATGTCTGTGCTCACTGCCAATGGCAAAGATGTTGACATTGCCCGCGTCTTCAGCTGGAATGGGGAAGACGTTTGTAGGCCTTAGCTTTGCTACAACTATGACGCTTATTCTTTGAATCCCACCTAGGCCAAGAACTACATTGACCGGATCCTTGCAAACTCCCTGAAAGCAATTGTACAGAGCTCCGACCATGTCCAGCGCTATAAGTGAATACAGCAAGTTGTAGAGGCCATTATTAAGCCATGCATGTGAGCTAAATAAAAGTAGCCATTAACTTGTACTACTTGCTCACTTGATGAATAGCAGGTGCGGTATACCATACAGGACCTGCAGAGATGGGTCCCTGTTTACTTTGCCTGTTTGGGAGGTAGTGGGGAAGAAGGCTATTCTGACAGACTATTATAGCAGTTTGGGTACGCCCTGCTTTTACTGGTTTATTACATTTATTCATGGTTGTCACTGTACTGCAGGTTATTTGGTCCCAACTGTGGAGTCCACTGTGCACAACCATCCCAGCGACAGCGAGTTTCACCAAAAGCTGGCCATTGTGTTTACGAGATTGTGCTAGGTCTCATGACGAACCTTCTTCCAGCCGCAACAAGCAGATGTTTCTTATGCCCCATCAAAGGCCTGCGTCGTGTACGGCAACATAGGAGATGGCATTCTGTGTACGCAATTTGATGGAAGTTATGCTTGTTCAATCTCAGCTCCCCTCCCCTCTGCAGAGATAGAGCAGTTCTCATACCAGAATATCACTCAATGTCAGAGAAGCAAAGTACTTCAAGACAACATCAACAGCTTCAGGGTACTCGCCAAGGGAGAGGGCTCAAATCAGCACCGGGAGGATTCACATGGGGCAATTGCATGGAAGGAATACCTTTTGTGATGTGTGTTTTAATCCTTGTCACTACATGCCTCCTTTTCACTCATTCCTGCGATGTTAGTCATGTTCCAAATGGCAGCACACCGCTGTTCGGTATCTGTGTGAATGTGCAGATGATCGGTAGGGTTGGGCAGTACAAAGACCTGCCTCCACGGTACAAAAGAAAAGCATGTCCTTCTTGCCATGCTGTTGTTGACTGTGCCCATCAAACTTACAACAATGACACAGACAACTCATAGTAATTCCGACGTTAATCTCTTATGTGCATATCATTATAGTATCTATGGCATCATTTCGCCAATGACTCTGCTGCCTATGCGATCATCTAGAGTGCCCCTCTGCGCAATCTCAAAGCGAACACTTGACAAAGGGTGTATAGCGGCCCATTGGTATCAGTGAAGAGATACTAGGATGCCAACTGGCCTGCTAATACACAAGGTGAACATTTTGGCATTGGACGAGCTGCCGGTATGGGATGCTGTAAGATATGCTGATTGAAATATGCAGGGTCAATGAGGGATGGTCTAAAACAATCAATAGCCATAATAGGCATGCATACAATCGCTGCCTGAGGCCGACAACCTGTCAGTGACCAACAGCCAAGAACTGTAACAAGTGTCGACATGCAACAGCCAGATGACTGAAGACCTGGTTTTGCATCTGCAAAGGATCATGATATACCCTGTAGATAGAGTCATAGAGCAAGGTGCGCTGATCTTTGTCTGCCTGTGAAAGTGTTAGCACATTGCATTGAACCACAGTTCGGTGTACGCATGTTAGGCAAGATGCTTGCGATCAGCTAGCTCTCGGTGGCCGACAAAGCGAGGTCAACAATCACTGCCTGCCGACCACTGGAAGCGCATAAACAATATCTGAATAGACAGCATCTCAAGGATTGCGCACACGTCCAGATCAGTCTCTAAAGCTGGTAAGCGAGGATAGGGCATACTATGCTGGGCACAGTAGGTGCAGAGTTCCCAAAGTTTTCAAGTGTGTGCTGCAGCCACAGCAGGTTATAGCCTTGTCCAAGATACATGTACTAGTTGGGATCATAGCTGAACGATCAGTGGCCTGGTCTCATGGCAAGTAAGCGAGAGCTCACCTGTTGTTTAGAAACTTGTTAGCACTGGACTTCGTGCCAGCTGATACGAAGCGCAGAGCAGATCGACCTAGAGGATGGAGTGAGTGAAGCCGATGGCAGCTCCATGGTCCAGCTGAATTGTGATCTGAATTTATGCTCACAAAAAGTATGTTGCTTGAGAAATGAGAAGCATGTCTGTTGGCCAAAGTTTGCAAGTGACCGCCGAGGAGCAACTCGGAAACAATGAGCCACCTAATATCTGTTGGATTTTGGGCTCGTGCGCTCACACGCACATGTCTCGGGATGACTCAGATTCCTATTGGACAGTATTTTATTAGATAGCGTGTTTGTTATTTTGTTCCTGACTCACCAGTTGCTAAGGCACCTGCCGCTTTCCTTATTTACTCGCTTTTCCCTGTTGTGCATGCTCAGAGACTTCCCTTCTTCTGAGTGTGCGTATATCCTCTCATTATGGACACTGTAGGATACTGACTGTATTGCAGTACGGACTGAGCATCCGTTCTGCTAGATAAATACATCATAGAGACTTCCCTTCTTCTGAGCTACAGACTGAGCGTCCATTCTGCTAGCCTCAAGTGCGCCCAACAGTCGAAGCCGGGCCCTGCATGTGAGAAACTCACTACGAAGAGTTTTTAGAATATCCTCCTCATAGTCAAACACATTCTAGTAGACATGAAACCTATAGCAGTTGGTGGTGAGCTCGACGGCTTTCCCCCTGTCCGCAAAGTATGTATACACTCAGCTTCGAGCTGAAAGACACACAAGAGGGGACGCACTTCATGTGCGAGACAATCATCTCTTGCCCCTCTACTTTACCGGTAGCTTCAAGGCAATGTTCCACTGTCCAGTTATCAAAACTAGTAGAGGAAAGAAATTAGCTTGTAAGATGCTCAATACTCCAGCTGCTATCAGCAACTTTGAGCTCCTGTTGTAAGAAGACGGGTGCCCATTGACCAGATGACTTGATGATGCAAAGCCACGATAGGAGGGAGATGACAATGGATGGAGTAGGGCAAACAGCTGACTAGCTATAGAGCAAAGCCCAGTGGGTAACCTGGTGTGATAGAACACATTTGTTGTATCTCGTGAGCAGTTGCATGGGTGCAGAAATTGAGGCTCAAACTAACGTGCGAGCTTGTATGCTCGAACATGCTACAGAGGCGCAACCTCATGTAGCTTCAGAATAGTGAGCTCTTGAGGTAAGGTGAGAGAGACTAAGGAAAGTTGCTGATGCGGCATGTATAGTCACCTGCCAGCAACTGCATCTGGTTTGTCAACCACCAATGTTCGGGATCGGATAGACCTGTGTAACGAGAGGACCGTCCAGGCATGCCATTTACTGGGCTCACTGGTCAACCAGTGTTTGACATCTGAGAACGACGCACTAGACTTTCAAATTCAGCAGGATTGGCAGCAGTATTACATAATATTAGGCAAAGAGTCGGAGTGCCTGACACGCGCCCGAATCGGTCGCTCTCGGAGCAACTTGAAGCATGCAGAGGCCTGTCACGGGCAGCAGCGACCGCTGCAGAGAACGGCTAGTGCAATTTTGAACATCATAGTGACCCAGGCAGGGCGGGGTTTGTACCTTGCAACACTGAGAATTCTTGGTGTCTTGGCAAGAAGGTGCCAGAGGTATCGATGCCATGTGGTCGCCCACTGACACTGTCTTCTTTGGAGTTGCCAGTACTTGAGACAAATTCAAGCCACATAATTGAAGATCATCCACAGCAGACCGTTAAATGGCAAGCTTTGAACAAGGGCGAAGGCTGGTGCCTGTCACCTGCCAGCCATAATGCTGTAAAACATTAGAAGAACCCGTGACTCGGTGTCAACCTGGTTGTGGTGAGCTGCTTTTTGAGGCGAATTTTCTCATGAGCAAGTAACCCATTCTCTGAACTTGTAGTGTAAGTATATGGTGGTACTGCGAAGGCCAGCAGTCTGACTCCATGAAGTAACCATCACAACAGCGGTCCTGACTAACGTTGTCTCGCTTGGCTCTATTGTCGTTTGCGACATTCAACGTACAATTTCTCCAATGCCTGCTGATGTCTATCCATATAGCCAATGGGAATGAGTCTACGTCGGAATTTCATGTCTCCAAGCCATCACTATTCGCTCGACAGTTTCAAAAATATCTGTCGGGGTGATATATAAAATAATCTCCTGCTACTCAGCTGCTTTCGTAGGGCTTAGTATCCCTTCGACAATCTCACTAACATGAAATCCGCCACCTACCTTGCTACTCTTATAGCTGTCCCCCCCGCATACGTCAATGCTCAGGCCCAGGAGTGGGAACAGTGTGGTGGTATTGGGTGGGGTAAGCATCAAATGTTGTTTGCTTGGAGGCCTATCTTAATATTCAAAATCAGCCAGGGCGACAACCTGTATTTCCGGAACAGCCTGCACAGTCTTGAACCCCTACTACTCGCAATGTTTGCCAGGCACTGCGACCACTGTTATGTCACCTCCGCCTTCGACAACGGTTTTGTCCCTCATATCATCTGCTCCGTCCACTGGACCCACAGGCACCAGTTCTATGACGTGCTCTGTCGCCTCTACTATCTCTGGCTTCAATAATGTGGAGCTTCCGAACTCCTTCATCTTCAACGATGGCACACCCGTGCAGACAAAGGATGACTTCACCTGCCGCCAGCAGCAGATCAGCGCGCTCATCCAGGGCTATGAGGCCAGTGCCCTTCAGAGTCCGCCTCAGTCTATTAGCACGTCGTTCTCAAAGAGCGGCTTCACTGGCACACTCAGTATCACTGTCACCAACACCGGGCAGTCTATCAGCTTCACACCGACCATTTCCTTCCTGAGTGGCACTCCCCCGGCCAATGGCTGGCCGCTGGTCATTGCTTTCGAAGGCAGTAGTATCCCCATTCCTGCAGGAGTACATTCGTCTATCTTTACGCTGCTGAGTTCATTACTGACGTCTGTCACAGACTGCCACCTTGACCTACTCAAACAGCGACATGGCCCAGCAAACAGACACCACAAGCAGAGGCAAAGGTCTCTTTCCCAACCTCTATGACTCCAGTGCCACCACCAGCGCTATGACCGCCTGGGCCTGAGATGTCAGCCGCATCATTGACGCGCTCAAACAGACCCCATCTGCCCAGATCAACATGCAGCGCCTCGCGGTTACGGGCTGCTCGCACGATGGCAAGAGTGCACTGATGGCAGGTGCGCTAAAACTGCGTATTGCGCTTACCATCCTACAGGAGTCAGGCTCTGGTGGGGACACGTGTTGGTGGCTGAGCAAGTATGAGAGCGACATGGGAAACAACGTGCAAACAGCAACGGAGATCGTGACGGAGAACGTCTGGTTCAGCACAAACTTTGCCAACTACGTGAACAACCTGCCCGTGCTCCCATATGACTACCACATGCTCATGGGCCTTGTCGCACCGCGCGCTCTGGTCTCGTTTGAGAACACGGACTACGACTAGCTCTTGCCCATGAGTGCCTGGGGTTGTGTCACCGCCGCCCACACAATTTTTTCTGCACTTGGCATCCCAGACAATTATGGTTTCGCGCAAATCGGTGGGCATGCACACTGCGCATGGCTGTCTTCGCTCATGCCAAACCTCAACGCGTTCTTCAACAAGTTTCTGCTCGACCAGGACATTGATACGAGCGTGTTCTTGACCAACAATCAATTTGGCAGAGCGCAGTGGATGCAGTCGAATTGGATCAATTGGACCACACCCACCTTGACTTAGGAGAAGGGGACATGTAGTATATTATGGACAGTCTACATGTACATTTACGGTGTATGCATAGTACATTTATACCGAAGTCGGTATCAGTATTATAAATCTATGTCCGGGTGCCTACAAACTCCCTTGAAACATGATGGACATATGCTATATTGAAGACGAGATGCTTACAGAATATATACAAACCAAAAGCCATTCTGCACTTGTAAAGCAGCCTCGGCGTCCTTCGCCAGCTTCAGACCACTACAGGTCACATTGATGCCTACTTCGACCGCTCACTCAATGTCAACACGGGCTGAGCATGAATGAGGTAGGCGTCATGGAGAGGGCGATGCAGCCAAGGAGGGTCGATGTCCAGGGCAAATCAGGGGTGGGAGCTGTGAGGGGTACTGCTGAATTTGACTTTCATACATGAATCACTAGTTCGTACTGTCACTCTTGGAACTTGTGCATCTACTGACGGTCAGGTAAGTAAACGGTAGCTGGTAGTACGCTTGGATCATAAACCCAAGCACGACCCGGCCACTACCAAAAAGCTAGCTAATATCTCAGATAATTTGATGTAGCAACATTCAGCGGCAACCTTTATTGCTCTTTTTCCAGTCACGTGCATGTGCAAAGGCAGTATTTTGTGACCTTGCCTGAGCTTGAAGATTCAGTGGGAGCTGGTGAAGTTCTTTGTAAACAAGCCTCGTCATTACTGTGTGCTCGCTACTTACTTTAGCCAATGTGTCCTTTATATCTTTTTCCATAGCTATGCTTGCATTCGGCATGGTTGAAACCTTGCTGATTACTCCTGCGTTATGAGGGCACTCACTGTCGAATCCATAGGGGTGATTCGTGTGGCAAGAATAACAATACTCCTGTGATCCACGATCTGACTCCTGAAGCATCTTCTCCACAAATGAGAGAGGCAGTGAGACTGGTAAGATCTCGAGACGGTTGGCTAAGACTGTCTGCCAAGTCGAAGCATTGGGCACGTGTGTAGAGACAATTGCTGCAACTGTGCTGCGTGACAGGTGCTGGAACTCCAGGAGAGCCTGGTATACTGATGCAGGTGCTTCTTCCATCTCGGGCACATAGGTGTCATGTACGCCTTGCAGGACTGCATGCATCGCTGTCTCCTTTGCTTCCTCCACCCATTTGTTGAGCCCAGCCAGCAGTTCCGTCTCAGCACTCTTCATCATCTGCTGCCTGGCTGCAGCCGCCACCTGCTGCATTCCGAGCCTCCTTGTGCCATCGGATACTCTAACGAGTTTGCGCAGGTCCTGCGAGGTGAAATATAGCATCGGGTAGCAAAAGTTTAGTACGGCCCGCAGAGTATTGCTATCCAAACCAACAGGTATTTCTTGCTTCTCTCCATCACTTGTGCCACCTGTGGTACTTCTCTCGAGGAGTTTCTCAGCGTACCCAACTTGAAGCACCACAGAGTGCACTGGGAAAGCTTCGCCATCGATAGAGCAGAGGACACAGTCTGCATCCAAAGTCATACAAGCAGATCGCGGTTTCCGCAACGAGAGATGTGGGAAGGTCCGCATAGGAGGGATTGTGAATTTAGTGAGCTCTGCGCCACGGAGATATTGCAAGAGTCAGAAATAGGTTGCAGAGGACATGGTGGACATCTCGGGGATATAGGTACCACTAGCGAAGGTGGACGTGAAAGTGTCAGACTTATCCGTGAGGAACTTTGTCCAGGTCTTCCATGCCTTGGCCACCAATACTGCTTCCTCTTCAAGCTGCAGTCGACAAGCCACTGCGAAGCTCTGCAGCGGCTTCTGGGTTATGAAGTCGCGGAGTGTAACTTTGAGCAGATCAGCGGCAACCTCCATCTGATATGTCATAGCTGCTTCCAATACTTTCTCCAGAAGTGTCCAGTCAGTTATTTTCAGCTGACTGACAGGATAGCAAAGGCGCATGAGGGTTTCAAAGGTGATGCAGTCTTCAGAGACATCAATGTGGTCCAGCTCTGTAGACACCTCCTTCGGGGGCTGAGCGAGAGAGAACATGTCCTCAAAAAAAGGCAACGCTATGATCAGAATCACTTTGACAAGATAGAAGTTGACGTGATCAAAGGTCGATATAATGATGTCTGTGGGTTTCTTTCTGTCAAATGGAGACGGTGCACACGCATTGGTACCAGGATTGAATGTTTGTGTCTTACTCGACATTGTATGAGAATGGTGCAGGTAGAAGTTGTGCCGAAAGTCGGTGGACAGCTGGATGCTAGATGAGCGCAAGCCAGATCTCAGTAACCATGCCTGCATCACGTCAGTATCTTATCGCACCACGTGTCTGGCTGGCCAAAGTGGTTGAAGAGGATTACTGTAGAGCTATAATCTTAGAGACAAAGATTCAAAACTGATATTAAAGCGTTGCGGGGTATATTAGCATATAATAGCTTTACGTAGTGACTAGACTGTGTGCATATATTGAGGTATGGCCATGCTCACTGTCACACAGTAAGCACTGAGACATTTTCCTTTCTTCGTATTGTCTACTATTTATTGCAGCCATGGACTCCCGTGCCTCTACGGATGCTAGTAGACAGGTGTACATTACCCTACGTTGGTAGCACTTTAAATACAGGAACACAAAAAAAAGACTAAACTGTGTGCGTTGAAGTGAATGCGCAGAGCAATAGGCCACGTCGGAATAGGCATTTAATTCCCGCGCCTCACTTTGGGACGCTGGACTACCTGCAAGGTAAATGCTCTACATTTAGGCTTCTCCTTGACGGGATACCGGACGGACGCGGGGGCGCCTGTGATTGGATGTCTCGAGACACCCGATCACGTCACGTAAGTGGCCCTCCCCCGCGACACCTCGAGCGCCGGCCACGTCACCCTCGGCCCAGCGCTGCCGACGTCGCCGAGGGTCACCGCGGTCACCGTCACGTCGCGCGGCCGTTCGTGGGACGTGATCGCGCGCGCCGTGACCCTTCGTGGCGCCATCACGGTCACTGCGGCGCTACCCCAAGCGGCCTGGGCGGTCGGGCGCCGCTGCTTGGCTGTGCGAGGCGATTGACCGGGGCGGGTTGTTGCCCCTGCGGTTTCCTTCGCACCCCCACCTGGCGCGCCGCCCCAGAGACCTCGCGGGACCTCCCAGCGACCGAGCCGACCGCTTTCCGTGTGAAAACGCGCCCGACCGCCGCCGAGAACGCGCGCGCGGCCCTGTTTGAGGTGCCCTCCCGCCCTTTCCGCGCCCCTGTCCGCTCTCCCGCGTGCCGCGCACCCCCGGTGACACCCAGAGGACGTCGAGAGAGCCCCGAGGTGCGTCCTCCTTTGCCTCCTTCACCTCCGGCACCTGTTTGGCTGCTTGCTGACCGAGTTTCTGGCTCTTTTTCCCTAGCTTTTTGCTGCCGGTGAGCAAGATGCCGGCTCCACCGAGCCACATCACGGCTCAGAGCCTCAAGAGTGCCAAGGGCGAGGTGCTCAAGAGCTGGATCATTGCTGCCAATGAGGCAGCTGGTGTCACGAACTACAAGAGCAAGACGTACCTGTCCAGGACAGGCACCATCAACGAGCTGCGAGCGAAGCTGGCCGAACACTACAACATTGATCTTGATGCGCCACCACCTGATGCTGCGCAGCCCTCGTCAGACCTCACTGAGGGTCCTGAGTCTGCCGTG